CCCCTCTCCTCTCTTCTCTGATCCTCCCTCTCTCCCTCTCTCTCTCTCTCTCTCTCTCTCTCTCTCTCTCTCTCTCTGACACACACACACACACACACACACACACACACACACACACACACTGGAAGGAGGAGATTCTTCACTTTGTGTCCAGCACAGACAGATGCGGCTCTGGCTTCTGTTCAGCCAATTACTATGATGGCTTGCTCCCAGCTCTGAAGGACCCTAGGCTCCAGGGCTGTCACCTGGAATGTCTTTGGATCCCTGAATACACCCCAGATGAGGTCCTCTAGGATTGTAGATCTATCTGTCATAACAATGTACAGTTGTCAGCAAAATATGAGTGAGCTGTGGAACACCCAGCTCACAGCTGCCTCTGCTCTTTCTCTCCTGGAAGATCCCTGCCTCGACTCTGACTACTGCCTGAGGGTACCAGGTCTCCTGCCTGCTTTGGCTTCAGGCCTGTCTTTTTCTTACCCTCCTTAAACATGACCTCAATTTCTATCTTCTAGAGATATCAGGTTGTCATGCTCCAGATCTGCAAGCTGACCTTGGGCACCTTTGTGGCTTGTAGATGATCACAGCCAGGTTTGAGCAGTTGTTTGTCTGCGATCCCCAGGCTTTCTCAGGCCCTGACCTCTTCTTTCTTACTGACCTTTCCCATCAGCCCCTCCCACCCAGTAACTCTGCTGCCCCATTGAACTATTTATTCTCAAGACTTTCTGACTTCCATGGACAAGGGCTGCTGTGTTTGATTCCAGTCCTGCTCAGGCATGGATTTGTGACCTCAGGCAAGCCTCAAAAGCTGCTTGTGCCTCAGTTTCCTCACAAGTGAAAGGAGAGTGTGAATGATGGTGACTACCTATAGGCTTTCTTTGATGAGCCAATGAGTTAGCATGGGCACTGAGAATTGCTTCAGATGGCAAGAGTGTCTGTGATGTTTGTAAAACACAAACATTTGCATGCACTACAATAATTGTTGCACACTTGATTGCTAAACTCACGAAACACTCATCTTCTCATTAATCATGATTTAAAATGTTACTGTAACATCTTGGCATATGCAAACATGAAGCTAGCTATATGCATTCCTCACCGAGAAACTGGAAGATGAGATGGAGAGAGGGAAGGAAGAATCAGAGATGGAGGGAAGGAGAAAGAAAAGAGGAAGAGATGGAGGGAGGAAGAAAAAAGGGAGGGGCAAGAGTGAAGGAAAAGAGTATCAAGATAACATCTGTCAAGATTCTTGGCTATCAGCAATAGAAACAACCATCATTTAAGTAAAGCAGATAGATAAAGCCACAGGGCAGCTTGCAGCAGCACTTACAAAACTGAAGGGCCTGCTTGGAAGCCAGGTGGGAACAAAGGAGGTGTCAGCTCCACTTCAGCCCAGAGCAGCCCTGTTGCCTGTGTGGTAGTCCCCTGCTGCAAAGCCAGGCACCAGAACTCAAGCACCACTGGTACTGCTACTACCTCAGCTGTCCCTGGAAATCAGCCTGCTGCTGCCGCCGCCGCTGCCACTGCTACCACCGCCACCGCTGCTGCCTGCCACGATCAATTCTCACCCCTCCCTGGTTATTCAAGTCACTGGCTCCTCATACAAAGGTCAGGATAAATGCAGCTGATTAACTCCATTCCCAAGAACTGGATGTGAGGAAGGCTGAAGGCAGGCGTCTGTGTGGTGGTCTCCTGGGTGGAAGGTGGGCTTTGTATCTTCAACATTGGGGGAGGATTCCTAAAATATGTCAAAGATTAAACTTCTTGGTTGTTCCCTTCATCTAGAGCTTTCTCTGTGTGGAGATGCGCACAGCCTTCCACAGCCACAACCCTCCTTGTTCTAACAACACACACCCAGAATTTGTTTGAAGTAAGTCTGGTCAGAAGCAGATACGGGAATAACGATCATCAAGAAAGCAGTTTATACTCACAGATCCCGGCATACCAAGAACACAAGAAGCATAGCATACCACATCCAGAGCAGGCAGGGGGAAGAGGACCTAAAGGGGAAAACTCTTGATTAAAGAATCCTCTCCCAGCCGGGCGGTGGTGGCGCACGCCTTTAATCCCAGCACTTGGGAGGCAGAGGCAGGCGGATTTCTGAGTTCGAGAGTTCGAGGCTAGCCTGGTCTACAGAGTGAGTTCCAGGACAGCCAGGGCTACTCAGAGAAACCCTGTCTCGAAAAACCAAAAAAAAAAAAAAAAAAAAAGAATCCTCTCCCACCTCTCCCTCAGCCTGTTTTGGATAGCTCTGGGGTTTGAGGGGTGGTTGTTTGCTTTTTGTTTGTTTGTTTTTGTTTTATGGGACAGTATCTCACTAAATAGCCCTGGATAGCCTGGAACTCATAGAGATCTGCCAGCCTCTGCCTCTGCCTCTGCCTCTGCCTCTGCCTCTGCCTCTGCCTC